TACCTAGCAGGATATCAAAGCAGATGCTGACACTCATAACCAAACTTTGGGCAGAGTGCAGGGAATCTTATGAAAGAAGGTGGAGATAGTAAGACCTGGAGAGGACAGGAGCTACACAAGGAGAGCAACAGAACCAAAAAATCTGGGCACAGGGGTCTTTTCTGAGACTGATACTCCAACCTAGGACCATTCATGGATATAACCTAGAACCCCTGCACAGATGTAGCCCATGGCAGCTTAATCTCCAAGTGGGGTACCCTGGTAAGGGGAACAGGGTCTGTCTCTGACATGAACTCGGTGGCCGGCTCTTTGATCACCTCCCCCTGAAGGGGGAGCAGCCTTGCCAGGCCACAGAGGAGGACAATGCAGCCAGTCTCGAGGAGACCTGATAAGCTAGGGTCAGATGGAAGGGGAGGAGGACCTCCCCTATCAGTGAACTTGGAAAGGGGCATGGGAAGAGAGGAAGGAGGGAGGGAGGGTAAGATTGGAAGGGAATGAGGGAGGTGGCTACAGCTGGGATACAAAGTGAATAAACTGTAATTAATATAAAAAATAAAAATTTAATAAAAATTATTTTAATTTCTATCTCAACAACTAACAATGACACCTCAACCAGAGAAAGAAAATAAAATAGAAGCCAGTGTGATCAAACCATAAAGAGACATACAATGGGAAAGAGGAAACCAAAATTTTGTTACTTAACAGCCCTTAGTGAGCCTAATAAAGGAGACAAAGGAACAGATCACAATGAATCTACAACAAGACTGTAAAACAAATATTAGTACAGAGCCCACAGACCCGAAACAAGAACACTGTAACATCCATGCCAGCACAGGGTGAGACTCAGGCAGGTTTAAAACTTCCTTGAAAACAACTCCATAATTTATTTGGAAAGAATAACGAATTTTTTAAAAAAGAAAATCTTCACGTCCTATACATATCAAAACAGTTGAATGTGAGAGATAGGCTCAAATTCAAGTTGGATCCTGGGACCGGAAGTAGAACTTTCTGCCCATGTGGACATCTGCAGTGGGCACCTGCTAGCTGACAGGAGGGCAGCGAGAACAGAACTTCCCATTTCTTACCCCGCCCTTGTCCTGCAGAGGTGGTGTGCAGGTCTCCCAGTGCTAGCATTCAGAACTTGGTGATGGTAGAGACTGGGGCACCCAGGGAGAGAAGTTTCCGTGTCTGTGTGGATTACCTGAGGCCCAAAGGCCTTCCCCACTCGACGCAACTAATCCCGCTGCTGTCCACAGCCCTGGGAGGATCTATGGGACAGAACTGAGTATCCGAACAGCTATGCAGGGATCTGAGGAGCAATCTTCAGCTGTGTAGCAGGCTTCAACTGGCAAACACAAAGAAACCTAGACAGTGTGAAATGGAAAGACTCATCTCTGACACCCGTGTGTGAGAGGACCCCACACAAATTCGCCGCTGCTCACTGGGACTGCTGACTAAACTCTGGTTTGAGCCTAGCCACAGGAGAAACCTCAACAATTATTTTAGCCCCTGAATTGAAGAGACTAGAACAAATTTACATTCGCTAGGCACGTGGGGTGAGAAAGCTATAGTTAGTTTACTGAAACCATTAGCCTTCAGAAGGAAGGCCAGAACATAACAATAATAAGCCAAGAAGGGAGTGTAGTTGGGATTGCCTGGAGTCCCAGCTACTCTGGAAGCTGAGGTGGGAGGATGTCCTAAAGCCAGGAGTTTGAGGCCAGCCTGGGCTCTCTAGGCAAACCCGTCTCAGAACACAAAACAGGATATCAAGGATGTCTTAGCACGCAGTACTGTGTGAATGAACTCTGAGCTAGGCAGAGCAAGCCAGTCACAGAAGAGAGAGAGCCTTGCCTGGCTCCTCTTAGTACATGGCCCCTAGCCCAGTGAGAGGCCCAAAGACAGAAAGTAGTGTTACCCAGGAGCTGGGCAATGGGGTGGATGAGGATACGTTTTTGTAATGGGTATAAATTTTTAGGTTTGCAAGATAAAAACAGTTGTGGAGATTGGGTGCTGCTTATGATTATATCACAGCACACGTGTCTGGTACATCAGGTAAAGGCATTTAAAGGCTGAAGATGCAGGTCACAGGAAGGGCTAGGTTTGACCCCTACCCCTACCCCCTGGAGAGCACAGCATAAGCTCATTGCGGTGGTGCGCTCCTGTAATCCAGCCATCGGAGGCAGAAGCAGGAATTTGAGGTCATCTTTAGCCACAAGGAAAGTTCAAGGCCAGACAGAGCTTCAAGAGACTATCTCAAACAAAACAGATAAAAGTGGTTAAATTTTGTGCACTTTAACTCAATTTAAAAATTGTGAAAATTGTACACAAACCCGTTCCTGTTTTAAAAGTCAGACAATGCAGACAGAAGTACATTTTTCCCCTGCTGACATCCTCAGCTGGGCCAGTATGCCCAGTGTGCTTTAACATACAGTATGTCTTACTGTACACACACACACACACACACACACATACATACACCCTATGACTCAAGCATTATAATGATTTCCATCTTAAGGATGAGGAAGTAAAGCAGCTAAGAATCATGGGTCTTTTTCCATAATCCCAGAGTCCAGAAGTGCCTGAGATTTGATTTAACCCTTCGAGTGCAGGCTGCTCTTCTCCAGCCCGCTCCAGAGTCAAGCTGACACCCCAGTACTGAGACACAAAGGTGCGTCACTCACAGAGGCTGTCCTCAAGGAAGCCTGACAGTGAGGACACCACAAAGAAGCGGGCCCATGACACACGTAACAGTGGATGTTTTTCTTGTGTTCCAAAGGACAGACAATTTGACAAGGTACTGGGGGTTTTATAAATGGTGGAATCGTATATACACATTCACTTGTCTTTTGTTTTCAGTTCTGAACTCAAGGGCCAGCTCCAAGAGGAACCATTTTCAAGCCAAGCAGCCTGCTGCTGCTTCTCTATCTCACGCCATAGGCTTCGTTGTTCTTTTCCTTACTAACAGTTACTGTGTCCTCGGTGGAGACAGCATCTTCTCCATCCCGTCCATCCAGACTCTCTGGTGTGTGGGCCGGGCCTTTGCAGCTGGTAAGTGGCTGTGCACTTGGAAGAGGACAGTGCTGCAAAGTCACATGGTTTAGGCGCCTTAAATATTGTTTTAAGAACCTGGTAGCCTGAAACCAGAGTCTCCTTTGACTTATCTTATGCTGGCCTGCCACCACCCATTCCTTGGTTTGGAGCTGCATAACTCCATTTCCAACTTTAGTCTCCATGTGGCTTCCCTTTCATTATTTCCTCTGTGTCTGTATGAACAAATTTCCTTTGTGTGTGTGATGTGTTTAGTGTGTGGTATGTAGTTGTTTGTTTGTTTGTGTGTGTGTGTGTGTGTGCATGTGCTTGCCCATGCAGGTATGTGTCTGTATGCCTGTGAAAGCAAAATTTCCTTTTCAGTTGTCTTCCTTGATCATTTTGCACATTTATTTATTTGTTTGTTTATTTATTTATGTATTTTAGAGATAGGGTCTCACTATTTCTCCTTGCTGGTCTGGAACTCACTGTGTAAACCAGGCTGGCCTTGAACTCACAGACATTGGCCTGCTTCTGCCTCTGGAGGGCTGGGGTTAAAGGTATGTGCTACCTTTTCCTGCCCTCCCATCTTATTTTATTTTATTTCAGTGAGCCTGAAACTCAGGATTTCGGCTAGGCTGGCTGAGCTCCCAGAACCTACCTGTCTTGCCCAACCCCAGCTGTGCTGCTTGTGCCCAATTTTATACACAAAAGCTGAGACTCTAAACTCAGGCCCTCATGTCTGTGCAGTGGGCACTTCACAGACTGAATCTTTCCCCCAGCTCCAGATTCTTCTTTTATTAAGAGGGTACTGGTCATTGGACTTAGAGTTCATCATATTCTGGCCTGATGCTCATTTCTAAGAGAATTCTCCTTCCACAAGGGTTAGGACCTTAGCTCTCTGGAGGCTGCTCCTCAAATGTAACAGCAGCCAATCACCATTCAAGCTGTCATTTTCTGAGGAGCTGGTGTACGGCCTGATGAGCTCTCAAAGTGTAGGCACCAGGTCTGGAAGGCTTGGTTCTCCCTGTAGTGTGCTGTGATCAATTCCCAGAAAACCTTCATGGAACACTGTAACTAGATCCAAGTTAGATAATGTAATTACTCTGAACCAAGCCTTTATTGCCGTCAGCTGTCTCATCATCTGGTCATGGCCGTGAAATCTTGTATGAGCACCTACAATATATACGTGCTAGCCCCAGGGCGAGGCACTGTCTGAAGTTAGGGAGCTGCACTTCTCTCGGTCTGATTGTACAGCCAGCCAGGGTTACGGGGAAGCGGTGGGCTGCACCTCATGGCTTGCTTCCCCTTTCTTTTTTCCACTCACGGGTCACTTGCCCTCTCTGCGTGCACCAAGAGAGAGCAAATGACTTGTGAGTGAAGACAGCCAGGTTCCGGGAAGCTCCCAGTGTCATGGTGTGGGGAAGGGCGCTGACGGATCCCCCTGCAGAGAGGGTTTTGAAACTGGTGCTGAGGATGAGGAGTACAGAAGGGTTCCTAAGCTCAGCTCGGCTGTGCTAGAGGCTGGGTCCAGCCTTAACAGGTGGCTTAAGGGAGAACAGTATCGCACACTAAGGACCAGCTTGCGCTCCCAGGCTCAGGGTCGGGTGCACCCTGGTACTGGCCTGGTTTGTGATGGGCATGGAATTCCCTGGGAAAAGTCCAGGTAATACTGGAAGGAACAGGTTTTAGGTGATGTTTATCCAGGATAAGTCAGTTGGACCAAAGCGTAGAGCAGGGCATATCCCATCCCAATTGGCCACTGCATACCCGTCCTGCTGACAGCCGCGTCCGACACTGGGGTCTCAGGGTGCTCTCTAGGCAACGCCGAGCTGGCCCCGCCCCTTTTCACCTGGGCCCGCCCCTGGTGGCGGAGACTTCCGGATTTCCCTGCTTGCCAGAGCTCCACCCAGCTGGCCTTATTCCCAGTCTCCGAAGTCCAGGGCCGGGAGAACCCGAGCTCCAAGCGCCGAGAGGCTTGGTAGAACAGGAGCCGGCAGGCAGCGAAGTTCTCGTGCCCTGCAGACAGATGCGAGCAGGCATAGGGGGTGCTCCAACCTGAGCTGGGGTGAAGCTTCTGAAGAGGACAAGACGGCGACTGCGAGATGCAGGCGGAGGAGCCGCGCGCCCCGGGCGCGCCCCAGGATCCAGGCGCTCCGGAGAGAGGCCCGCGCCCCCGGTTCCCCGAGCCGCGCCTGTCGGGCCAGCTGCTGCCCGAACTCTACGGCTTCGTGGCGCGCGTGCTCTTCTACCTGGCGCCCGTCTACCTGGCGGGCTACCTGGGGCTCAGCATCACCTGGCTGCTGCTCGGCGCCCTGCTCTGGATGTGGTGGCGCCGGAACCGCCGCGGGAAGCTGGGGCGCCTGGAGGCCGCCTTCGAATTCCTGGAGCACGAGAGAGAGTTCATCAGCCGCGAGCTGCGGGGCCAGCACCTGCCGGCCTGGGTGAGCCGAGCCGGGCCGGGCCGGGCGGAGGGCTGTGGGCTTTTGATGGGGGAACTGGAGCGCACTCCCGGGCTTCGTGTAAGGGTCCGGCCTCAGAGAAAAGTCCGGGGCTGGACACACCGCGGAGAGAAACCGGGCGTCCTGGACTGCTCAGAGTTATTCCCGTGGGAAACAGAGGGCTCTTCTTCCACCCGCCTGTTGAGCTAGCGCAGGGAGCGAGCGACGCAGAGATGGATACACACAGCACTGACAGGAGCAGAGGGCTGGCAGGAATGCCCCGCCGGGCTGGAGGTGGCTGGTTGGGATGCTGCGTGGACAATTGTCCCCTCCCTCCTTACGCCACGGGGGATGCACAAATGCACACTCTCAGTCAAAGGACAAAAAAAAGCGTCCTGGTGGTGGCCGGCCTGGCTATGGTTTCTCTAATGCATCTGGTCCCGAGAACCCCACCTGGCTCACTTACAAGCAAGTTCTGTGTCCGTCCCTCCCCCCCCCCCCGCCCCAGCATAATTCCTCGGGTGGGGATCCAGGGACGCTGACAGTTCTTAGGATTGGACGTTTCACAAACATTGACCATTTCCGAGGGTTGGTGTATGACAGGCCTGCCCCTTCTGGTGCTGGGGGCTCCTGCTTCTCAGGGTCACGTGGGGAGATATGCAGAGGTGCCCAGACTCCTCATTTGCCCTGGCTTGCGTGTTTTGCATGTGGCCTGCTCTCTAAAACCCAGCTGCATTCAATGTATCACACCCGCCTGTGAGAGTAGCCTCTAAAGCGGGGTTTAAGAGAATGTTAGAATGGCCGATCGATCTTGCTTGGAAATGAAGTTTGCTGAGGCCACCACAGCAAAGTACCACATCCGTGGGGGCCTGAGTAACAGACACTTAGTGTCTCATAGTCTGTGGATGATGAGTTCAGGATCAAGGTATCTGTGGGTACATTTCTTCTGAGGCCACTGCGCTCTCTCTGCTTGCCTGTGGATGACTTCCTGCCTTCACGTGCTCCTCCATCTATGCGGCTGCGCCCAAGCGTTTCTTTTTCCCACAGGGACACCAGTTGCAGGGTTCAGGCCCATTCTAATGAGCTTGTTTTAACTTAATTAGATCTGTCAAGACTGCTTCTACATGCAGTCACGTGCTGAGGTCCTGGGAGATAGAACATGTGACTTTTGGGAGAGGAGGTTCAGCTTATCCCATAGCACTAAGGTGCTTGGTACAGAGGAGTACATGTCTTTGGGTGGATGGGGGAGCCGAATGCTTGCTGATAAGGGTACACGCTGTGAAACGTTAGTGAGTACATTCCTAGAGTAGAAGCGGTGGGAACAGGTGTGATCCGGCTGGCTGTGGACCACACTGAGAGGAAGGCGATGGTATCGCTCAGGGATGCCAGTCTCAAGAGGGAGATCGGTACACACAGGGGATTGTTATGGAGGTCTTGGAAAAGTTAGAAACAGGAAGTTGCATAGAGTCTAGTCAGGGGGTCAGAGGCCTACAACAGACACCTCACTGATTTTCACATTAGGTTGTCCCTAGACCACAGCCACCTGCCTTCTAGAGGGCTTGTGAATGCAGCCTAGAGGACTGGGCTGGGCGCCCTGAGGACCAGTGTGTGCTCGGCCTGTTGGACATGTGTGCGACAGAAGGCAGAAGGCAGGAGGCAGGCATGAAGGAGACGCAGCCAGACTCTGCAGGCTGTAGCCCTTGTGAGGTGCCAGTGCAAGATTTCAGAAGACACTGCAGAAAGAAAGGAAGGAAGGAAGGAAGGAATAAGCAGGGGGTAGAGAACGCATCTGGGGAAATTATTTGAACCTGGGCACAGCAGGCGGAGCTGAGAAGCATGAGGGAGAAAGGCTGTAGCTGCCTGTGGCCTCGAGAGGGAGGGTACTATCTGGGTGGTAATTACCACTCCTGGGGTCCCTGGGAAACAAGTTTAAAGAGGGTACGTTCCCATAAACACCTGGGAAGGATGCACAGCTTGGTGCAAACGTGGCCTTGTGCAGGACGAGGTAGGAAAGCTGGGGCCCTCGTGGTTGAATCTTCTGCCCTCTCTCTACCTCAGAATAGGAACACATGCTACTTAGAAGCCCAGTGACTGATGGAGCCCTGTCTGCAGTGTGGAGGATAACACGCAAACATTTAGAGAGACCTTGACACCATTGGCTTAACTCCCAAGAGCTCTTCTTCCATGTGCTGGTTGTAAAGAGGTGAATATTTGAAAACCCCAAGTTCAGAGCCAGGCACACCTATAAGACTCTGAAATAGAGGCCTCTAGAAGTAGAGGCAAGATGATCAGGAATTCAATTGCAAGTAGTAGTTGAGGCTAGCCTAGGACACTTTCTCAACAAAACAAAACAAAACAAAACAAAACAAAACGAAACGAAACGAAACGAAACGAAACGAAACAAAACGAAACAAAACAACCAAAGTACAGCACTTGCTGAGAGTCCAATAAAAGTTGTTGCTTTATGCTGCTCAGTCTTCTAAACCCCCTGAGGACCTTTTCCCTCGGTCAGGCTAATGAACAAGTCTCCCAGTAGCAAATGTGTCCTTTGGGAGCTGACTGGAGTGGAAGAAGTGGGAGGGTGCACAGAGAGCCTCCAGGGAAACCTCGTTCTGCCAGGCTCTTGCTGGGCCTGCTCTGTCGTTTCGGGCTTTCAGAGCTACAGTGAGTGTTCACCCACTGGCCTTCAGAGCTGGGCCGTCTTGCTCTGCGCTCAAGACTCTCCATGGGGTCAGCACGTGCTGCTTCCATGCCCCAGTCCCCTGTGTAGCACAGGAGTGGCCCTTCACTTCGACAACCCCTCTCCTCCCCAGGGCATTCACTGAGCCATTCATTGGCCTTATTTATCAGGTATTTACCTTGGCTCTGTCTTGTCAAAGAGTGAAGACTGGTGAACGCCTTCCCTGGCTCCAGTCTGATGGGTTGTGTGAGGGATGAGAGGCGGCTGGTTGGTAGGCAAACAGCCTGAGGCAGGGTAGAGAGTGGAAAGAATTGTGGGAAGTTTGTGGCAGTTTGTCCATCTCTGGTTTTGGGTCTAGCCCAGCTTGTTACTGCCAGCTGATAGCGATCAACCGATCAACCGATCAACCGGCAGCCTTTGTTGGGGACAGTTAAGCCTTGGGGAACTGCTGGCAGCTGATGCTGATGTGAAGAGGGAGAAGGTGTAGATGTGGGGGTCTCGGAGCGTTCACCAGGGCATAGCTGCCTCAGGACTTCCGAATCTCTCTGAAAACAATGGACTTGCAGGAGAGGCTCATTGGGAGAGTCCTTTCAGCCTTGAACCAACCCAAGTCAGCTTTTCTCTGGCTTCACACCTGCCACCCAGGATCTAGTCCCAAACCTTTCTTACCCTCCATGTGACTGGAGCCAGGGAAGGTGACCCACCCGCTCAAAGTGATAGACTCGTGGAGGCGGCAGCAGCAGCAGCAGCAGCAGCAGCAGCAGCAGCAGCAGCAACCCTGCCAGCCACTCAGGCAGCCGACTAGGGCCTGAGCACTGCCTTACCCTTCTAGAACCCATCACTCCCACTCTGTCCTCACTGACGGTTCTGTCAATTAGAGGAAGTTAATGCAGTGAGATTGGCCACCGTCAAATGAGCTCACACGTGGGACCAGGGAGAACTTCCTATCTTGAGGTGCCCATAGCTCTAAGACGTCATGAAACTCAGTTTAGAGTTGGACTCACCTCGGGAGAGAGGAGGAGGCATGGCAAAGTCATGTCCTTTGTATTCCTGTTCCATGTCTCGGTGATGTTTCATGGACTTACAGTGTGCTAGGCCAGGATTGGGCAATAAGTGTGTGTGACAGGGCGTGGGCGTCCTTTTCCTCCAAGCCCAGCACAGGGATTTTAGGCATCTGCGTGTTCATCCTCTGCCCAGTCACCAAACATTTACAGAGGGCTGGCAAGGTGTGCGGCACAGTTCTGTAGCATGAGCCACAGAGGTAGGTGTCTGTGGTCTCTGCCCTTGAGGAGACTTTGAGCAGAGTGGGGCCGTGGGCCCATGAGAACAGTCTATTCCAGGACACAGCAGACGCCCAGGATGTTTAGACAGGGAGGATATCTGAAGCAAGTGGGAACAGCCCAGGAAAGATTCCTGGAAGCAGAGCCTCTACAGCAGGTGGATGAGGACTGTGGTAAAGGACCAAAACCTCCCACAGGTTTGGTCACTTAAGATGCAGATTCTAGAGGCCGGAGAGTCGGCAGAGTGGGTTCAATTCCCAGCACCCACATGGAGGTTCACCATCTCCCAGGGCAACAGGCACACAATGTGGCATGTGGATGTACATTTGGACAAGAACATTCATGCACATGAAATTTAAAAAAAAAAAAAAATCTTAAAAAAGATGCAGACTCTAGGACAATATCTCACAAGATTCAAATTCACTTGAGATTGCCCATGGCTTCATTTAGAAATCCTGATTCCTGCTTGGACGGGAGTGTTCGGGACAAGCTCTGGTGCCCAAAGACTTGAGTGACCAGGAAGTCACTCGGGAAGTGGAGATTGGTCCCATGGGTGGGAACAGCCCCTGCCTTCCTGTGTCGCAGGCCTCTCCCCACTGGACAGAATGGAATGGAAGCCAATTGCCAGTTTCCTTTAGCACCTGTCACAGTACCTCAGAAGCAAGCAGGGGTAGCACTTCTGTGCGAATGTCCCAGTGACTTAGGGAGGTAGGAGTTCCCTCCTGAAGAATTCTGAGGGTCACAACATGAGGACGACAAACCAGCTGTATTGGTGAACGGGGGCTGGGGACCCTAGCCTGCCTTTCCGTGATAGTTTTATCGCTGCGACAAAAACCTTAAGAGAAACAATTATTAGACGAAGGCTTTATTTTGGCTCACTAACTCAGTGCTTTCTGGCCGAATCCATGGAATTCAGGCTAAAGGTTGGGGAGCACATCTTGGCAGTGGGAGCAAGTGCCCTAGGCTGCACAGTATACACCCTTTGGGCCTCCAGTCATCTGCTTCCTCCAGCCAGACCCCACCTCCTAATGGTTCCATCACCT